CTAAACTATTTAAAGTTGTTAAGTTGTTTAAATAAGTTAAATTAATTAATGTGGTTTAGTTGGTGGATTTAGTGTTGTATTAAGTGAAAGCTAAACTAGTTAAAGTTGTTAAGTTGTTTAAATAAGTTAAATTAATTAATGTGGTTTAGTTGGTGGATTTAGTGTTGTATTAAGTCAAAACTAAACTAGTTAAAGTTGTTAAGTTGTTTAAATAAGTTAAATTAATTAATGTGGTTTAGTTGGTGGATTTAGTGTTGTATTAAGTCAAAACTAAACTAGTTAAAGTTGTTAAGTTGTTTAAATAAGTTAAATTAATTAATGTGGTTTAGTTGGTGGATTTAGTGTTGTATTAAGTCAAAACTTAGACTTAGAAAGTTGTTAAGTTGTTTAAATAAGTTTAAATGCTATTTAGTTGTTGGAATTAAAATTATCATTATTGTTTGTGTAGATGGATCCTGTTCATAGTTGGATGTATAATAGAAACAATCCTGGTCGAGCGGGTATGATTCCAGAATTCACAGAAGGTGTCACTAGATTTATAAATCATGCAAAGACACTTGATGATTTTTTAACTTCAAGATTGATTAGGTGTCCCTGTGTTAATTGTGAAAATGTGAGATATCATACAACATAGACTGTTGCTATGCATCTTATGATGAATGGATTCAAACCATGGTATACAGTTTGGACTAGTCATTGTGAGGTTGAAAGTGACACTATGTTTAATAACTTTGTTGTCGGTGAAAGTAGTAGATCTATCGAGCATAATTATTTCCAAGAGGTATGCAGTGCTTCAGGCCCAACTAACTTTTCTTTTTGAATCAAGAAATATTCTTCCTCCATTTCCGGCCAGCAATGATGGAACTGATCAGGAGGGTGATGAGAATGATAAGTCTGATAAGGAGAGTGAGGGTGATGAGAAAGTCTGATAAGGAGAGTGAGGGTGATGAGGAGTAGTTGTATCTATTTGACATTTTAGACTTCTATATTTTTGGAATTGTTTGATCGTATTTTAGTTTATTTTGAAGTTGGATGAAGTTTATTTTGAAATAGTTTAATGTATATGTTGAAATATTGTGTTGTTTTGGTTGGTATGAAGTTTATTTGGAATTCTTTGGGTTGTTTTGGTATAATATGCAGGTGGACAATTAAAATTGCAGCAATTTGCTGCTAGTTTTGTAGCAGAAAACCGACCTACGGAGGTCGGAATTTCAAAAATAAAAAACTAAGAATACCGACCTCGGAGGTCAGAATTTCAAAAATAAAGAATGAAAATACCGACCTCCAGAGGTCAGAATTGCAAAACTAAAGAATAAAAATACCGACCTCCGGAGGTCAGAATTTTCAAATATACAAAAATAATTATACCGACCTTCGGAGGTCAGAATTTCAAAAATACAAAAATAAAAATACCGACCTCCGGAGGTCAGACTTTCAAAAATACAAAAATAAAAATACCGACTTCCGGAGGTCAGAATCTCAAAAATAAAAAAATAAGAATACCGACCTCCGGAGGTCAGAATCTCAAAAATAAAAAATAAAATATCGACCTCCAGAGGTCAGAATTTAAAAATTAAGACGACTTCCAGAGGTCGAGATTATTAAATTAAAAATAAAAAAATTAACAAATACCAACATCCGGATGTCGGTATTCCAAAATATGAGAAATAAATATTCTGACCTCAGGAAGTCGGAAAATAAAATAATAAATTTTCCGACTTAAAATATAAACTGACCTCAAGAGGTCAGTAAATACCGACCTCCAGAGGTCGGTATTGAATAACGACCAAGCTTTTTTCGACCTAAGCTGGGATGTTGGTTTTAGGTCGATATTTCAGGGAATACCAACTTCCGTAGGTCGGTATTCATTGTTTTTTAGTAGTGATTTCACTTTCATGTCCTCTCGGTGCTATGCATTATTCCCCTTTAGAGTCATAATTAGCCTTTACTTAAGTTCATAACAACATTCATTAAGCACTCATGCCAACATATCATCATAATAGCTCATAGGTTCCTTAAGTGAGAATGCTCTTTTCACTTTAGCAACACTAGCATGTGAGTAAACCTTTCACATTATAATCGTATTGTGATCATGAGGATGTCCTTTCAAATCACACAACAAGCTTACCATAAACATACATACATATATACATAAATACATACATACATAAATACATACATAATCAAGTGTATAGGGTATAGGGAAAGAGGACCTTGCATCAATACCACCACTACACAATAGAAATAGAATCTCTACTATCGAAGCAATTCAAGTTCTCATACACAATTCCCATAAAGGGACATAACCTTCATACCTTTGCCCTTCAAGGGTCTTGGAATCACAATCAACCCAACTATATACAATTACTACATAATATAGAAGGAACTCATGATTCAATAGCTTAATCAACATAAACATATTCAATTGACATATTCACAATATCATCCAACCCACAATATCAATTCAAGATCTATCAACATGGGAACACATGGGTCTATGGGGAATTTTCATTATAAACATCAATTCTCCATCAATATATTCATAATTCGTCATAAATAACCATAAACCATCATAATTAAGCAATGAAAACGTTTTGAAAAGAAGACCCATGTTATAGAATGAAAACCCTAGAAATTGGGAAATTTGATATCTTATAAACATATTTGAAGGGGCTCCTTGGGTGATAGCTACCCAAGGATAAAAAGCAATCATACCTCAACTATGAAACTCCAAGAAATTTGGGGAAGAACCTTCAAACTCTAGCAACCCTAGCTTCAATGTCGTCTTCTTCTTCTTGAGTTTAGAGAGAAAATTTTAGAGAGAAGTGGGAGGTTTTTTATTTCAATTGGGTGTTTGTGAAAAATGACTAAGTCTAGTGAAATTTGACTTAAAAACAAGGGAAAAAGGACAAATATATCCCTGAACTTTCAAAAATGGTATGTCAATACCCTCCGTCATACTTTTCGTTCATCAAAGCCCTTGCCGTCCAATAATTAGTGCACATTTGCCCCTCCCACTAACGGAACACTCATTGTGTACACGTGGCGCAATTCTATGCCACAATCCGAATTGACCAATCTTTTAACCCAAATTAAAAAAATCCGCCCATAACCCATTTAACCCACCCGATTAACCCACAATAAACTCTCTAAAATCTAAAGAAAAAGCCCCAATACCCGTTACTTTCTCACAAACTTTTTCAGGCTTTGTACATCATTTCTACTACTCTCTTGATTTTTCTTTCTTTTGATTCTTGTTTTCCCTGTTTTAGCTGTTGATCCTTTTACACAATGATTCTTGAGCTTAAAAACTGAAATTCTTGATAATTCCAACAGTTTAAAAGATTGGATTTTGCCTTCTCATTTCAACTGATAAAATTTATGCATGTTCTTGGTCTGGTGTGAAATGCAATGAAAATTCTGCTTTGATTATTAGATTGGATATTTCTGTGAAAAATCTTGGTGGGTTTTCTCAGAGAATCAATTTAGTGTTTTTTCAGACCTTGTTGAGCTGAATTTGAGTCAACTCATTTTCTGAGAAACTCCCGGTTGGGGTTTTCAAGTTGAGTAATTTGAGAAACTTGGATATTACCAGGAACAATTTTTCTGGTCATTTCCCAAGTGGATTTCAAATCTTGATTCTCTTGTCATTCTTGATGCTTTTAGTAACAACTTCTTTGGTCCTTTGCCTAAAGATGCTTCAGAAATTGAGTCACTCAAGGTACTGTTAGGGTTTGCTTTGTGAGATGAACGATTGTAATGGGTATTGGGGTATTAGGGCTTTTTCTTTAAGATTTTAGAGAGTTTATTTGTGGGTAAATCGGGTTGGGTTAAATGGGCGAGTTTTTAAAATTTGGGTTAAAAGATTGGTCAATCCGGATTGTGGCGTAGGATTGCGCCACGTGTACACAATGAGTGTTTCGTTAGTGGGAGGGGCAAATATGCACTAATTATTGGACGGCAAGGGCTCTGATGGACGAAAAGTATGACGGAGGATATTGAAA